CTTGCCAGGCAGGCGCTTTTGCCGCTGAGCTAAATCCCCAGCCCCTAGCCCAGCCCTCTTGTCTCACTGCCTCGTTCTTGTGTCTTTGTAAAACGTTTAGTGGGCTTTGGTGTGGAGAAGACCAGGGAGCGGGAAGAGGACTTACGATTTCTTCTTCATGCCCTGGAAAGCCAAACAAAACCCTTTCTCAGGGTTCAGAAAAGTATTTTGTTCTAGTCTTTGCCAGCTTTTCCACTTGCTCAGTGGTAATGAAGGAAAGCTGTGGGCGGGATTTAAAACGATGGTGTTGGGTTTGGTAAGGATTTTCAATTTACCTTTTAAAAGGGACCCAGCTGAGATATAATGCCTGGTATTGTCTTGTCAGCTTGAACCCGTGAATCGCTCACAGATTATATCTAGGATTTCAGCATTTCGTGAATAAGACTTTTATGCACCAAAAGTGTTTTACTTTTAAGATTGCTTGAATTCATGGTACAAAACCACTTACAAATTACCTTTCAAAAGGCCTTGCTTTTGTTCTCCCTCCCCCACCACCATTTTATTTTATTTTAATGAGAAAAGAACAAAAACAAAATACAAAAACAAAGTCAAAAACAAAACAACACAAAGACTATAAAAATGATACAGAATTTCAAAACAAGATGTTAGGAAATCAACAATGGTTGTTGTATTACTTATTGTTATCTTCAAAGTAGTTGCTCAGATTACCAGATGTAGGCATGCAAGATTGATCAAACAATTAAACATTAACTGTTCCTTTCAATAAACCAGTAGAATTTAGTAGTACAATTATCTTAGCTATTGTGTATGTGTATGTGTATATCTATCTATCTATCTATATATAAATGTATTTCCCTTTCTTCTTTCATTGTTTTCTTATTTCCCTCATCCCAGTTGTTCTTTTCTATTAAGCAGTTTCTTTCCCTTTCACAATATGTATTATACCTTTCAGTTTTATTTACTCTCTCAGGTTCTTAAACTAGGGAGATAATACAGTGTTTACACATGCGTGTCTGATTTATTTTGCTTATGAAAGTGAAAGATCCTTACAAATTATGGTCTCTAGTTGCATCCATTTATGTATAAATTTATCTATAAATTCGCCTATAAAAGCCTTGAATTTATCTTTATAGCTGAGTAATATTCCATTGTACAAAAGTACCATATTTTCTTATCCACTCCTCAGTTGATGGGCATTTGGATTGTTTCCAAAATTTAGCTATGACTAGTTGTGTTGCTATGAATATGGGTGCACATATATTGCTGTGGTATGATATTTTTAATTCTTCTGGGAAAATACCCAGAAGGGAAATGGCTGGGTGAAATGGGATCTCTAATCCTAATTTTTTGAGGAATCTCCAGACTGACTTCCAAAGTGGCTGCACCAGTCTACATTGCCACCAACAGTGGAGAAGTGTTCCTTTTCCCCCACAGCCCCTCCAGCATTTGTTGTTGGTTGATTTCTTGATGGTAGCCATTGTTTCTGGGGTAAGATGAAATCTCAGTGTTGTTTTAATTTGCATCTCTCAAACGACCAGTGATGTTGAACATTTTTTCATGTGTTTATTTGCCCTTTATATTTTTTCATCTGAGAAGTGTGTATTTATCTTAGATGCCCATTTTTGGATTGGCTCTTTGAATTTTGCGGGGGGGGGTCTGAGCTTTTTCAATTTGTTATATGTTCTAGATATAAGTTCTTTGTCTGAGGGACAGTTAGCTAAAATGATTTTCCACTCTATAGGTTGTCTTTTTACTCTATTTGTGATTTCTTTTGAAGTACAAAGGTTTTTTAATAGGATGAGATCTCAGTTGTTGATTCTTTGAAGTCTTTCCCATGCAGTTTGGGTTTTGTTCATGAAGACTGTACCTACTCCCATGTCTTCAAGATTTCAACCTACTTTCTCTTCCAGTAGATTTCCACTACCATTTTAATATGATGAGATGAATTAATCAAGGAATAGATAGCTAAAGAGGAAAAGACCCAGTTCACTTACAGAGATGTGTAACTGTGCACAAAGACAGATTGTGTGTGTGTGTGTGTGTGTGAGTGTGTGTGTGTGCACACAGCCAGTGTTTGCCAAGGCAGCACTCACATGTTTGATTTTCTGAATGCTCAGTGTAAACTGTGTGCCATAGCATTCGCTTGCATCCTCTAATTGCTCAATTGCAATAGATCAACAGCTGTCATCTGACTACTCAGCACCTGCTCCATGGAGACATGCAGAAAATAACAACCCAGAATACAAGGACTGGGAGTTTTTTTAAGGACAGCACAGAAACATCAACTGCCACCCATAAGATTACTAAGTCCAACATTAATTGCTTTCAAGGTTAAAGGAACAGAGGAAGACTGTTGGGCATGACCCCAGGCTGATAATCATCACTGTAGCCTCCTGAGAGTTTGGTTCATGAAGACAAGAGCTCTGTGACAAGGGTCTCCTCAGTGAATGTTGGAACAGCAACTGGAGCAGCCAGGGCAGGAGCCTTGGGAAATGATACCCAATATGCAGCTGTCAGACCAGCCCCTATGGTGTGTGCGGCAGGAACTAGTGTCTGCAGCAACTTAGTCACCATCTGTAGGGTTCCAGTATTCCCCGGCTCACTAGCAAAATCAGTGTCTCCCCTCCTCTTATTTCTCTTACCTTAAGAAAGGCGTTCAGGGCTGGAGACAAAACTCAGTGGTGCAGCTCCTGCCTGGCAAGTGTGAAGTCCTGAGTTCAATTCCCATACAAAAAAAAATTCATTCCCTCATAAAAGTGCTCTGAAAAGCAAAGGAAGGTGATAGTACTGGAATGATGAGGATTAAATCATGTTAGACCAATGTCAACTATGATGGTGGAGCAAGTATTCTTGATTGGCAGCTACTAAAGAGTCTTTAGTAGTCACAGGGTTAGACTTTTTGCAGTGTGGAGAACAGCACAAGGATTGGGAGAAAAGACAAGGCAAATTGGGGCTGGGGGTTTATCTCAGCGGCAAAAGCGCGCCTGCCTGGCAAGCGCAAGGTCGTGAGTTTGGTTCCCGGTACCGGAGAAAAACCAAAAAAAAAAAAAAAAAAAAAAAAAAAAAGACAAGGCAAATTAAGATAGGAGATGGAAATAACCTCTGGCAATGACACTACACTGACTTTGAACGTCATCTACAGATTGGAGAACAGAGAGTCTTTATTCAAATGATGTAGCCCATCCTTACAGCATAATGTCACAGCATTAAGTCCCCCGTCCTCATATGAGCGCATTTCCTAGGCAGCCTGATTTGATTCATTTTGGTGTCTGTGTTGAGAGGTTTAAATCACTGATTCTCAGTCGTGGCTACTCTTAGAGAATCGCCTGGGAGGGTTATAAAACACTGATTCATAGTACTACTTCCAGAGATGACCTGAGATAGGTCCTAGGCATCTGCATTTTTTTCAAAGCACTTCCAGTGATTTTAATATGCATGCAAAATTAAGCACTTTAAGAATTATCTTTCTTTTAATGCATCTGAAGGAAGCTTCAATTGTACCTGCTAAAACTGTTAAGATCTTGGATTTGAATTTGACACTGAGTTGCATGCCAAACCTGGAGAATACCTTTTCACTCTTCAGGCAATACCTGATTAAAGGTAATCCTTCACATAAAGGGAGATCGTTGTGATCAGAATATACACGTATTAATCCGAGTTTCCTCACATGTTTCCTTTCCAAGGTACTGCTGTAGAAATACAATCAGTTTAGAAAAAACAGGTTCAACTTTAGATTACAATATGAAGTTATATGCCATGAATTATTTCAAATCCTCATAGTCAAGATGTTAAAAAAGTAAAATATTCCTTGACCAGCTTGATTTAAACTTGTATCAATTGTGAGAAGAAAGTATCTCCATGAATTAATTACTGCCACCGGTTTCTCTCATGTCCACATCTGGTTTAAACATCTGTGTGGACTTTATGGACAGCCTAAAGAAAGGAAGAGTTATGGTCGGCTTAGAAAGATCCTTACAAATTACAAAAATTGGCAAACAAACAGCAACTAATTAATTGTTAATCCACATAGCATCCATTCAGGACTAGTTTGTTGAACAAACTTGACTTGTTAAAAAACACTTCTCAAAGATGACTTCCAAAGAAATCCACATAGTAGTGTAGGTAGGAAATTGTATTTCATAATTCCTTGTGGTTAATATCCAGATGTTTACTGAGGCCTGCTCCTGCAGGGATTCAGACAGGAGCAAAGCTGGGAACTGAGCCAGCCTGGGACTTGGCAGCAGTCCTTCCCAAGGCTGACAGGAGATTCTGTAATCCTTTTTGCAAGCATTGTCACCAGGTCTCACTTTTGGCAGCTGATCAATAGACTTATCTCAGTAAATCAGCAGAGAAGTATTTCAATATGTGTTGGCAACAGCTACCTGGAAATAGCAACTGTGAGAGATGCTAAGGTAACAATCTTCTCACTGATGTGAACTTTCTGATTTTTGTTCCTTTGGATTTTCAGGTTGCCCTTGTGTGTGGGTAACATTTTTATTTCTATTTGCTTGGGTAGACTAGTCAACCACCACTGTCCTCTTTGCATTCTGGGACATCTAGTTTTTGTTTTTAAATGCAAGTAAGGAACTGACTTAAGGAGACCTAGGCTTGATAGGAGCAAACACATCCCATCCCCCATGGAGGAGAGGTCAGGAGCATCTGTGTTTCCAAGGCAGGTCCTTGTCTGATTTACCTCCATAAGTTCGTGTCTTTGCTATGTGTGTAAGCT